ACATTTTGTTTGAATGCTTGTTGTATATGATATTTTTCTATTGTGTCTCTGTGTTTCTTATTGTATACTATTTTTAAGATGTCCATTGTATCTGTTATCGTGCTATATGCATGTCCAGTGTTTAGAATGTGTTTGGCATATGCTGAATTATCCTTATTATGTTTTATTGCTGCAATGTGTTCTTTATACCTATTTGTGAATGTACGTCCAGTTTGACCAATATAAGTTAATGGGCATTCTTTACATTTTAATCTGTATATTCCTGGTAAATTGTATTTGTTATTTATGTCTATTGGTGGTTTTTGTTTAAGGAAGTTTTTTATTGTGTTATTTGTTTTGAAGGCTATTTTTAATTTGCTTTCTTTGAATAGTTTTGTTATGAATTTCGTTTCTTTTCCTATATATGTAAAAGTGGCCCATCTTTTTTGTGTATCTTCATTTTTATTTTTATTATCATCATTAAGTTTCGTTGTTTTTTTATTTAGAAGGTTGTTATTGTTATACCCATTTTCCTTGAGGATTTGTTGTATTATATTTAATTATATTTGTTTGTTTGTTGTGGATATTGGGTATAGATTTTTCCTGTTTATTAAATAATTGATATCCAAGGAGTCCTGCCAAATGAACAAGTGATTCATAGTGTCAAAATTAATTCTGAATCAAGAGGCTACATAACCTAAACTGTAATAGCTGAAAAATATATAAAGACATAAAACCTGTATGTTTTACTTCACAAAATTATGTGACCTTGAAAAAGTGCATAATTCTCCAATCACATGTTAAAATGTTATCATTACCTAATTCAGAAGCTAAGTCTTCAGTGCCATGGCCATACAAAGCAAGTGAATTCTTACATTTTGGACACACAAATGTATTCATGTTCTGGACAACTCCAACAATTGGCACCTTCAGTTTTTGGAACATGATTGCACCTCTCCTAGTTACTTCAAGTGCTGCAATTTGTGGTGTTGTTACCAGTACAACACCTGATGGGAAAGAAACTGGCTTAAGTACAGCTGGGGATTAAAATCCTATGTTAGTAATGCCACTTCTCTCATCAGCAGGGTTTATATGACTGAAGGCCCATCATGTGCATTCACACATACTCAATTTTTTGGAAGAGTAGACACTAGAATACACAAATCTCATGAATTAACCTATATATTCATATACTGACTTTATACAAAGGATCTGTGATGAGGGAAAGTGAATGTACACTGGCACACACAACTCAACCAGTGACATAAGTAAGTTCTGGGTGAGCAACATTGTTGCTATTGACAGAGTGCACTATTATTTCCTTATTACAGGTCCTTCTTCCTGTATTACTGGGCAGACAGACAAACAATGGTACACACCAGAATCGAATTATGCCAAATTGTGTCAGATATCTACATCTTATAACATATAACACATGTAAGGTATTTGGAAGTAACATTGGGCCAGCACAAAAGAACTCCACACTTTCAGAATGATGCAGAAAACAAATATGGCATACTTAGGACTTCACACCCACATCAGTTGATAGAAAAATTCTCAAATTTTAGTTTAAACTGACCTGGGTGAGTGTTCTTGTTGTGTGCCTCTGTTAGATGCCACTAGTTTTGAAAATAAATACCTAACAACAGAGGAGTTGGTGTGTTCTGCAGTTATAGAAGAAAGTCTGTTAACAGTTGTGCAATGTGCATTTTGCACACAAATTGACATGGAACCAACCAACCAAGTATCCATTTACGCCTGGTATGAGAAATTCGTGCAGAAAGGGTGCACTTGCAAAGGCAAAAGTCATGGTCTGCCCTCTGTGTGTGATGCAACTGTGGACCGCATTCAAAATTGCTTCCAATGCAGCCCACAAATATAAACGCGCTGAGTGAGTCGTGAGTTGCAGCTACCACAAACAAATGGCCCCCTTAATCCTGTATAAACGTTTACTTAATGACTTTATCGTCCTACAAGATGGGGCGCTGCCTCACTCCCCCATGGCTGTTGGGAACCAGCAAAACATGCACCTTCCCCAAAAATGGATTGGCCATGCAGGAGCCAAAGGCGTTGTGTGGTGCAAATTGCCACCAAGATTGCCAGACTTAACTCTGTGTAACTTCTTCTGGCTGGGCTACATAAAAGTCAAGTGCTCGTCCCACCACTGCTGCAATCTTTGACAGAGTTGAGGCAACGAATCACAACTTCCATAGCTTCCATCATTAGGGACACTGTACAAATTTTGGGAAAAGTTGGATTATCGTCTCATCTGCAGTGTGACTTGCAGAGCACATATCGAGTCTCTGTGAGGTGTGCACAAAACAATGAGAGTTTACCCATCAACTGATTTAGATGTGAAGTTCTAAGCTCACATCATTTGTTCTTTGTGCTCACCCTGTATTACTATACTTACAGAAATTATTCAAGTAATTAAGACAAAGTACACAAATCACAAACTATTAGTGATTCAATTCATAGACCATCTAGAAGAAACCAAAGTACAAAATTAAATATGTAAGATTTGAGGTTTTCACAGTGGTGAGTATGAAGATTTCTGTCTTCTGGGTTGTTGCGCTGTGTAGTCTGGTGGATGTTAGCCAACATTTCAGAGGTCATACTGTCTCCGTCATCAGGGTGATGCATATACCTGTACATTTACATGACAACAAAACTTCAGTTATGCCATCTTCTTCTATATTATAAAAAATTGTGATTTGTCGTCATCGCCAACCTATTTGTAGCTAATCAATCTGTAGCCGAGTAAACAGATAACGTTTCCTAGGTAACCATTGTTGTCGATTTGTTGATACGGATCTTACACATTTTCGTTACACGTCTTCCTTTCACTTTTTTGCCGAATGACCCTTCCGTATAGACGTATTTACGTCAAAAATGACCAACACAACAATACCGAGTAAACTGACAGTTGGCCTCCGAACCGCGACGTAAAGAACATGAAGAAAAGTGAAAGAAGACGTTATCAACTATTAGAAGTACCAACACCAACAAGGTAAACTGATACTAATAATACTACTCATTCAAGCCATACTGTTCATTCGATATATTACGATTACGAAAACTATTATGAAAACCGACTTTATGATCGATTTTAAGAAGAAGATTTGAAGGGTGGGGTTGGATGTAGAAAGTTGACTGTAATAATTAGATAAAGCACTCCGAAAGGAGCGCGTTGCTCTAGTTTTACATAAAAACTAAGACATCATGAGAATTTTTATGCAGAATAAAAGGATTTATGACATTTAATAGAATATACAAGGAAGGCATAGAAACTAATTGCAAATATACTTTATAAAGTGTATTACTATGGTGAAAATTAGCTGAATATGTTAACAGGATTAAATACATTTAATATAAACACAAAGAATGGAAGAACAACAATATCCAAGAAAAGATTAAAGCACTTCTGAGGCTGGAGTAGGTGACTTTACCCACTCAGTGAAGTTTACAGGATGATGAAGTAGTTAATAGAATAATAAACCTCTGACTGCCACCAAAGAATAAGTACAGCGAAACTTTTAACCGACCTATATGGGGAGGGGGGGGGGGGGCTCGGATAATCCGCTAAGTTGGATGAGCGAGGGGAAGGGGAAGGTGGTCATGGATAAGAAAACATAAGTAGAAGACAAAGATATAATCAGCAAAGTTGAAAGAAATACAAGTAAATCATTGTTATAAATACTGAAATATACAGAGATTCAAGAAAGATTTTCCTCGGCAGATGATGCAGGTGTTTCGCACGCCCAAGCCGATGGCAAAAGATCATTCGTGAGCGCTGTTTGAGGAAGTCCCTGTATTAAAATAATGAATTTATTAGTCATTCTGAGTCGCTGCCCATAACATCAAGTGGAGGCTCTGGTGTGATTCTGCTGATACCAGTTGATTTGCTTGCTCACTGGTAGAAACTGATTGCAACCTATCTGGTTGAAATTTGGTCGGTTAATGCGGGAGTCAGATAATCGAGGGTCAGTTAACAGAGGTTTTACTGTAACCAGTTAAATATATATCTGCAATACTTAACAACAATAATGTCATTTAAGAGAGATACCACAGTTAATTTACATAGTATACGAGGTGCGATCGAAATGTTTCCAGACTGCGCGTATAAAAACCCGTACACTTATCTCAGGTATTAAATTCATCCATCACCCTCGAAGTAGTTCCCCTGGGAGTAAACACAACGATCCCAGCGCCGCTGCCAAGCCTGGAAGCATCCCTGGAAATCTTTCTTTGTCAGCCTCTCAAGCACCATCTGCGATTCTGCCTGAATCTCTTGCCAAAGACTCGCCAAAACGGCTACGGAAACCTATGAAATGCTAAAGCAAGCATTTGGGGAGTCCGCAATGGGTCGTGCACAAACTTTTGTGTGGCATTCACGTTTTAAAAACGGCCGAACTTCTGTCGATGATGACGAGCGTTCTGCACGACCATCTTCGAGCACAACGCCCGAAAATGTTACCAAGATTCGGCAGGCCATTCACGAAGATCGACGTCGTACCATAAACGACTTGTGCGACATTGTTGGGATAGGCTAAGGGACCTGTCAGCTGATTCTAAAGGAAGAACTCCACATGCGAAACCAAGGCTCCTGTCTGAGGACCAGAAGCAGAATCGACTTCTCGTTTGTCAGGAGCTCAAAGATCTTGCAACA